TGAAAGTACGCATCCATCAAATGATTTCTCATGCGCTCGTGGTAGTTTTATTATCTTGGTAGCTGGTGTTTTTATATTGTGTCAACTCTCGCACAAAATGTTCTTCTCGTCGCGGCATTGTATCATCTCGTCGTGCAGTGCACTCATCTCGTCGTGTCGTGTTATCATCCCGTGGTGCCATCATGACCCACCCATTCGTGTCGCTGTATCATCTCGTCTTGCCGTGTACTCGTCTCCTCGTATCGTTCAGTCATCTTGTAATTTCGTCTCGCTTCAATTTCCACTAAAAATGAGGAGACTATAACTTTTGCCATGTAATTTCACGCATTAGTTGTTCACTTACAGTAAATTCTCAGTCTTCGTATCTTCACTCGTGTGACCGCAGGAACTTCGTCCTACCTCGTCCTTGCTTGTCCTCAAGACATTATTCCAAAAATCATCGCCATCGAAGAATGAATGGGCATTTTCGATATGTTAAAATTCTAACTTGGCTCCGAGGCCTGGGGCAATGAAACAAAAGAAATTATTCATCAACCTCGAGGTGAATTTTTTAATTTTTATATGGCGAAAATGGCCTTAGTTGTCTTAGATTGGCGATCACACCTAGCTTGACCAAGGAATATGTAATTCCCTTTCTTTTCATCTTTTGAAGTAAGTATAAGTACCATTAGAGGCCTCCCACCTTAGCAAGTATCAAGAACCGACGCAAATTAAGAAATTTCGCGTCAGAAAACGAGCGGAGTCGACGAGCCAAGGCAAAGTCACGAGGGCCGAGGCATGTCTGACTCTGAGATCGATATGTGTTACGTTTTGAGAACGCGGCTTTGGTACTTTGAAGCTACTCTGGATCGCTGTTTTCATAAAGTCCACTCAAATTTACAAACTTATTCATCTTGATGACTGACCAAAGGACTTTTAAGTTCCAATCACCGAGAGTTAGGAGCGTATAACCGATCCATGTCCATGTGGCATGACGGGCACTCTTACTTTTGGAGGAAAAAGCCTCCAACCACGTCAACTTACACTGAAACATCTCGAGTATAGATGATGTTAGGCACTAGAGACATCGTCTTTTTGTGCTGATATATTCAGTTGGTGATCCAACCTTTTTGCTTTCGGAGGCCTAAAATCGTATGGGGGAGAAAAATATCCATGTAGTTATTCTGATTAGTGAAATGTTTCATGCGATCTTAGATATTTATTTATTTATTTTTTTTCAGTTTACTCTATGTCAGTGATGAGTATTTGTTGGTTCCATCCATTCTGCTATATCAACAGGATTAAGAGAGAGAGTAACGCTGCTTAAGGATCATGGCTACCGTTATGTTGGATTGCAGAGGATTTGGAACGAGGATTGGTCAATAAATTAGCACAAACTAACGAAAAGTTAAGCTTGAGATGGCACATAGCTTCGGATTAAAAAACAACAACAATAACTTCAAAGGAAAATAAAAAACAAAACAAAAGCAACAGCTAAAATATTGGCCAAAGTGTGACTCCAAAATATGACGTCAAAGACTAGCTGCATCGCAGCATTGTAACCGAGCCGCGAGCCGGCGATTGTCACGACGTCACAACACCATATTATGGGGATAGTGTCGATGATCTTGTCACAACACTGAACACTGTACTGATTATCTGATCTTTGAACGCAGGTAAGATTTAACTGTTTTCATTTCAAAGTTCCCCCTTTGGCACCTTTCACTTTAGTTGAAAAGGCCCAATCGAAAAAGCGTGCGCGTTGCACACGAAGCAAAAACATCTCCTCTTGGTCATGATGTCATCGTGCCTTCACGTGCAATGATTCAGAAATAACAGTTGAATTTCGAGGAACTCGTGGAAGCACAGAAAAGACCGCAATAGACACTGGCATAAAATAAATAATAATGGGGTAAATTCGGGTTTGGTTCTTTCATTTGTTATGTTTTAACTAGTCTCAAAAGTAATGTAAACGATCGATTGATTTTGAAGCAGTGCCCGTGCACTCAAGGAAAAAGGAAAATGGTTGAACGATTTTTTAGAATTTTTACTCAAATTTTCCCCAACAATTGCTGCTTAGAAAAAAATAATTTCAAAAATGGGTCACCTCACTCGCCAAAGGGATATGATGGGCTAAACCTTTCCCACCCACGTCTTTGGGGGCACTAATTGAATAACGCACGCCATTCCATTGGTTTATGATGTATCCTGAGGTCGCTGTAGGCAAGGTTTTCCCGAGAAGAAGTTGAAAAAAAAAAAATAAATAAATAAATAAAAAACATTCGAACGGTATTGTTAAGTCTCTGGCATGTGGAAGGATGAAATATTCCTTGAGTAACGGCTTTATACAAGCTTTGCGTTAGTTTTTTTCCCTCCAGATCAATTTCCTTTAGATTATTTTCTTCAAAGAGAATAATTTGCACATCAAAAGTTTTAAATGAATAGTCTTGTTCGTTGAAACGAGAAAGGGTATCCTGCTTGTAAAGCTTGTCAATTGATGAGACAAATTAAAGAAAACAATCCTGAAACATGTTTCAGGAATTGACCCATGACGCGAGGACGGCTGTTATGCGCAAAAGCAGGTTGCGCAGTGAAATACGACGGGAAACACCCTTTTTGAAAGACTTGAGGCACGTAGATGATGAGGCCGAATGTTACGTATGAAGCACATACGAACTCGAAACTTTGGTTCTGGAATTTTCCACTATGAAAGAAATATAGGCTATGGAGTGATGTTACTGGAACTCGCTTAACATAAAAGACAAACTGTTTATTTTGAAACCATTTTCAATTGGAATTTAAAACTTTAAGATTTTTACGTAGAAAAGAAACAAAAAAAAAAAACTTTGATTTTCTTGAATTTTACACACCCACATATTTTCACGGGTGTTTACTGCAGTGACTAATTGCCCGACTCAAACAAGCTAAATGCCTTGCAGTCAAAATTTTTTTCCGAATATCCACAGAAAGGTTTTGTCAAACCGTTTGTTTGTTTAGAAATGGCGATGTCTAAAAAAATAATTTGTTTATTTAGTGGACAAATTTACCGAGCTTGTACTCTATAATACCGCTCGCTTGTTCGTGTCTTTCTACTTGATGTATCCAAAGCCTTTCCCACTGACTTACCCTGCGTAACTACTAAGCGTGAAGTCCCCGAGGAACAAAACAAACCGCTTTATTGGCTTGGCCAAGCGTCTCACTCAATATTCTATAACACCGCTCGGTTGTCGAGACTAAAAACTATACGCTTCTTATCAGACTGCCGTGTACGTGTCATTGTGCCAAACATCTGAAAAGCCCTTCACATCAACTCACTCGGCCCAACAACTGAGCTTGAAGTCGCTGGGAAAGTGTCGACAACCGAGCGATATTTTAGGGCATAATACATTTTGAAAAACATGAAAACAAACAAAAACAAAACAACAACAAGAGCATAAAAAAAAAAGGGAAGAAAGAAAAAAGAAAAAGAAAACTTGATAAGGCCTCTAACGCTTGGAAAAATGTGATAAACCTTAGGCTTTGAGTTTACATTTTTCCCATTTGGGTCAATTTACATTTTTTCTTCGGTGTGAAAGAGCGCTATGTGATGCGAGGGGAATCTCCTTCATAGACTAGTGGCAATTAAACGCACGAGACCATATAATTCGTTTGAAACAACCACGAAATCGAAACCTTGGTTTTGTGATTTTTCCGTTATGAACAACCACAGTATTCAAGCTTTTTTTGTTTGTTTCAGATCTACAAACATGCCGCCCGACATTCCTGAAGAAGATCGTATAGACGACAAGGTAACATTTAATTTAATTCGTGAACGTTATGATGTTGTAGAAAGATGAATGTTAGTTATAAAATTGTAATCTAGACTTTAATTTTTGCTTCATTTGAGCTATAGCTGCTAAGTTACGTCCATCATTCTGCACTAGACATATGGATGTGTTGCGTAACGACGTTCGTTTTGTGCCCCAAAAAATGTTTGGTAAAAATGTAAATCAAGATGGATTCTTCTAACATGTCTTGCTGTATTACTTATACTTCTTTCAGCCAAAGACAATTGCAATTTTTTTCACTCTGCTCTCAATTATTTGCATTGTAGTTTGTTTCATTACATTGGGGAAATGCTGTTGTTTTCCCACAGGGAGAGTGGCAGGTCGGTGCTGTTGGTGGAGGGTGGCAGGTTGGTGCCAATGATGCAGAGGGACAGGTTGGTGCTGTTGGTGGAGGGTGGCAGGTTGGTGCCAATGATGCAGAGGGACAGGTTGGTGCTGTTGGTGGAGGGTGGCAGGTTGGTGCCAATGATGCAGAGGGACAGGTTGGTGCTGTTGGTGGAGGGTGGCAGGTTGGTGCCAATGATGCAGAGGGACAGGTTGGTGCTGTTGGTGGAGGGTGGCAGGTTGGTGCCAATGATGCAGAGGGACAGGTTGTTGCTGTTGGAGGAGGGTGGTGGGTTCGTGCTTTTGATAAAATGTGGATGCTGCTAACTTTCCTGGTGGTGTTAGCATTCCTTTATGAAAAAGGTATAAAAATTACCATAAACTTATGAAAACAAATTTTCCTGATACAATTTCTTTGAGGAATGGAGGAATTTAAATGATCACAAGAGGTCATGAGGAGATTGATAACTTGATTGCTTTAAAAAATACATTTCTAATATGTAACTTTCTTTGATTGGCTTTTGAGCAAAAAAATGGTGTTCAGTGAGTTTTGTTTTTTGGTTGATTTCTGAAGATATAGAGTTTTTCAGATGATACCTGCCATTTTATAGCAAATTTCAGTGAGCAATTCCTAAAAGTAATTTATTTCCAAGTGAGTATAAAGTAGTCAAAAATCCCAGCAGGGGGACTGTAACTACCACTGCTCAAATGAGGGATTGCATTTTGAACTCTTGCTAAACAAGATTAAATTCTGTGAGTGCATGATATGGGAAGCTCAATTCTATCAATTGCTGATTATTCCCAGACATCATGGCAGGGTGTGCTTTTTCTGCTCAATTAAACAAGTATTTAGTGTAATATTATTTGAAGTAACTCGTGGCATTATTTTGTTCATTTGCAGGAAGACAACTTCTGAGAGCATTAAGACTCTCTTGGTAACCGAAATAAATTAATGTAAAAATTATCATCTTGTAATTAGCTTTGCTACAAGATATGTATTAGATACAATAAATATATGAAGTTCATATATTTTGAACTGCGGTATTAGATACGGTATTAGATACTGCACGATCCACGGGTTTATTACGAATCAACTTTACGGCCTGCTGCCAGTTGGCTTGTTAGCTCAATTGGTAGAGCGCTGCACTTATATGATCGCAGAGGTGAGTGGTTCGAATTCCGTAGAGGCCTGATTTTTTTCAGGTCTGATTTTCGCTATTGCATAAATAGCGCTCTCTACTACGAGGATCGTGCATCATACGCACATCCAAAATGTTGTACAGGCACAATGTACAACACTGTACAGTGGGAGAGAGGGTGAAAACAAGGATATCAAGGACAAGTTGAAATGCTCTTCCAATACATTGCGATCTCAGTCATGTTGGGTCACCACTTGTGTCGCTTATTGTATTTTTTATCAGGTTTGACTACAACTAGGAAGGTTCAAACATTGAGAATTATTACAACTCTCAACGCTAGATGCCCTTAGGAATTTTTAGCTGCAAAGAACATTTTACATTCTGCTCATATTTCAGGAAAATTCTAACATCAAATATTTTCTCAGAGCAAGCAGTAATATTACTGGGGGCTTCTGGAATCAATTTTAATCGGGGCTACCTCCAATATAAACGNATCTTGTTTCCTTATGCTTGTTTGAGTCGTATTTAACAGCCTGAAGTTGGTTTACCCTAATCAGCTTATTAATTATCTCCTTGAGTATTGCAACATTTGGGTTTTGTTTTTGTCCACCTTTTTGAAGAAGTGCTTGCCTGCATTTTAGAAGATGTTTTACTAAAGGTGACATGAAAGGTGGATCTCTTGATGACATTAGCACAGTCTTCACTGGGAAACAGTCATTGTACATTTGCATTAGTGCACACTGAAAATTTTGCACTTTCTCTTGAATGTAATGTGTAGATAGGACAGAAGACCATTTGTACTCCCCAAGCAGTTTAAACATTTTGATCTTATAGTGATCTCTCACATCCCGAAAGGCTTTTGTATAAAGATCCGCCTTAACATGATCTTTTGGACAGGCTAGGACCATCTGGTGGTCTGTTATTACAGCAGATTTGATAACTTTAGTCTTGCTCCATAGACAGGGTTTATTTGTAATAAATACATCAAGAATTTTGTTTTTTTTTGTGGGTTCTTTCACCAGTTGGACGAGAGAAGCTTGGGTTAAGAGGTCTTTATACTTTAGCTAATTCAGATCTCCACCAATAACTATAATGTTATTAGGGTCCATAGATATTATCTGTTCACATGTATCTCCAAGAAACTCTAACAAGTCCTCCTCTCAGTTGACTGGTTCCGGTGGATGGTAAATGGAGCACATATAGAAAACTGAATTAGGAGTTGATATTCTTGCCCACATACACTCAAAGTCATTCGCAAATACATGCAAAATTACAATTTTCCAGTCACATCGACTGAAAATGGCAACTCCACCTCATTAATAACATGCAGACATGACCACGAAACGTATGTTCCAATTGTTTATTGCAATGTGGTAGGTCAAGTTAGTTTTCACATGCTGTGCGACTTCTTATGACGTGACTAAAACTCGTGGCAAATTTAGCACAACAAACAATAAATAAACAGGTTTACAACATACCTACCTTTCATGTATAATGGTTCATAATTATTCATAACACTCAGTAAAGGAAAAAAAAATCAACACTTAGTTTTAGTCACACCTGTTATTGTCTTGGGGATGAATGAGCCAAGTGCTTGAATGTCTTTGTACAAATTTCATTGAACATGTCCTGACATCCATTCTGGGTTTTAGGATTTGGGGTCATATTCCATCATTCTGTCATTCTGTCATTCCTGCATTCCATCATTCCTGGTTTTAGGATTTGGGGTCATATTCCATCATTCTGTCAGTCCGCCATCATTCCGGCATTCCATCATTCCGTCATTCCGACATTCCAGCCTTTCATCGTTCCAGCTTTTAGGGTCACCCAGGGCTTTGAACAGTACCTGTTCCTGCCAGGCATTGAACAGCATTTTCTGTCAAGGAAATGTTTTCACAGTCTTTGAAGAAAAATCAGTGAAAAATTTCAAGAAAAGTGACCCCATGCAATTGCCCGCAATCATCAGTGTTGTTTGTGAACACTCTCTCGGGCAGTTCATTCCACTTCTGTTTTTGTCAGAAACGACCATTTCATGGCCGGTTTCTCATCGCCTTGTTTAAAAATGCAACCTGTGACTTCATGCAGTACTTTCAGGGTAGCCATATTGAGAATGATTCTGTTAAGTACACATGTGCTACCTGATCGAGTCTAGGTTGTATAGGAGATAAATAGGAGTATCGAGTCTCTTTCTTCCTGCCCTTCGTGGTGTCGAGTTCTCACTCTCAAAATTTAACCTCTCTATGTGATTGAGTCTCCTGACTAATCGGCCCCCACTTCTTTCTCTGGTCCTCCTCTCTTTTTTCAAATGATTCAATTGATACTTTTGCGATACCATCCTACTCAAAAACTGCTGGAGCTTCATCAACATCCCCTTCCAGTTTGGTCACGTCTTAGGCGGAATCGTTAACTTTGATATCTCTGATATCGATATCGTCATCCACGATGATAGAGTTTGGATATTTGTGGCGTTCTTGGAAATTTTCTTTCTCTTTTTCTTTTTTCACCCTCGGAATTTGACAAATAACGCTTGAGGTATTCTTTTTCGGAGAGGGTCGCCATCTTGAAATTGCTGACGCATCAAATCAGGAGATAGCAGACTCTATACATACAGATGTATGTATGGAGGGATGTATCTCCGCTCATGTGACCGTAAGAAGTTCGTGCTTGAGACATTTTTCCCAAAGTTCATTGCCATTTCTAAATGAAACAATAAGTAAGTAAGGATTGCGATCACACGCAAGGGATGTGTAATTCATTTTTCTTTTCATCTTTACAAGTAAGTATATGTATCCTTAGAGGCTTCCCTTCCTAATAAGTATGGAGAACTTACGTAAATTGAGAAATTCCGCATAAGAAAAACTAGTTGACGTGCCAAGGTAAAAACACGCGGCTGCTGCATGTTTGACTCTGAGATCGGGATCTCACGTTTTGAAGAACGCGGTTTTGATAGTTTGAAAGAAGTCAGCATCGCTGTTTTCATAGACTCACTTTTCCACGCTTATTTATCGTGATGATCAAAAGAACTTAAATGGCTGCCGGTCTCTGAGAGTTCGTTTTGTAAAACCAATCTATGTCCGTGTGGCAGGGCAGGTACTCTTACTTTTCGAGGAAAAAGCTCCCAACTACGAATCAACTTACTCTGAAACATCTCTGGAGTATAGATGATGTTCGGAATGAGAGATGTCGTTTTTCGTTTGCTTTTTGAGTGAATGAATGCTGACTTATTCAGTTTTACTTCCTTCTTGGTGATCCAAACTTTTTGCTCCTAGAGGCCGGCCTAAAATCGTGTGTGAAATAACAATATCTTTATAATGATTCCTGGTGAAATATTTCATGCGATCTCAGTTATTTTTCCTTAGTATACTTTTTGTCGATGATGACCCTTCACTGACTCCTTTTATATTGCCATATCAACAGGATTCGTGGGGATAGAGACGCGTCCCTTACCGATCTTAGGTGGCAAGGGCTTTGGAACGAGGATTAGTCGATAAATCAGCACTAACTAACTAAGAGCTAAGCTTGAGGAAATTATAGAGCTTCGAATCAAAAACCACAACAATGATAACTGTAACTGCAAAGGAAAAGAAACAAAAAAACACTAAGTGTGACATCGAAATGACGTCAAAAGGAGCACAGAATTGTAACCGAGCCTCAAAACAGAGCTTGATTAGCGGAACGCGGAGGAGCGTGTGACAGTTTGCCACAGTGAAGCAGCTGACTTTTTCTCGATTCCGAAATATTTCCGTGTAACCCCGTACCAATCAAGAACAAAGCTGTAGTCCCAAAGGTAATCTGTTGTTTTGTGTCAGTTTTCTTTTCTCCAAGAATTATAAGCTCGAGTTGTAAGCATGTGTAAAGGGTTATACAGATCCTGTTCTCGAATCTCTCAATTTTTGAACTTTAATTTTTTATTTTTAAGGTTCCATCTTTAGTGTATTTTACTTAGTTGAGAAGTCCCTATCGAAAAGCGAACGCGTCGAAATGAAGCAAAAAATACCTCCTGCACACGTGCATCGGAAATTTTGTGCGAGAAATTTTAATTTGTGTGACTCGTCAGATTGAAAAGGTCACGATAGACGCTGGCTTATATAACAACATAAATTGGGTTTGTAGTTGTATTTACTAACTTCCTAAACTGATGCAAATTCTAACATCCTAAACTGATGCAAATAGACACGAAACCCTTCACCATACCTAAGTAAGGAATGTGACACGAATCAATTTTGACAGTGGCTCGCGCGCTTTAGTGGACAATTGCAATGGAAAGTTGTTGAGCACTTTTTTTTTAATGTTTACTCGAATTTTCTCCATTAATAGGTGCATAGGAAAAAACAATAAAAAACAATGGGTAACCTCACTCCCAAAAGAGATATAGTGGGTCAATCCTCCCCCCACTTTTATGTCTTTACCGGTAATTGAATAGCGTGCGTTATTCATTTACTTGACGGTGTATTTTGTGGTCGTTGGAAGCAAGGTTTATCAAGGATAAAGTTGTAAAAACAAAACCAAAAAAACACTCTATAGGTATTTTAAATTCTTTGAAAGATGTAATATTCTTTGAGTAACGGCTTTGTGCAAACTTTGTGATAGAATTTTTATCTCCCGATCCATTTGCTTTTAGTTGTTTTCTTCAGTAGGAACAATTTTCGGAGCAAAAGTTTTAAATGAAAAGTAATGCTCTTTGAAAAGCAAAAGGACATCCTACCTGGTAAGCCTGTCAATTGGTTGACA